GAAGAATTAGGCAAGGTGACCCCCTATCCCCATTCTTGTTTACCCTAGTGGCAGAAGTGTTAAGCAGAATGGTGGCAAAAGATGATGCTCAAGGCCTTATTAGAGGTTGGAGGGTAGGTAGAAATCGGGAGATTGTTACCCATCTCCAATTTGCAAATGGCACTATCTTTTTTTGTGAAGGAAACAACGAGGAAGTTGTGGAAAATTTGAGGGTGCTGCTGAATAATTTTGTGGGAGTGACAAGGCTGAGGATAAATTGGACCAGAAGTGGAATTGTAGGGGTTAATTAGGAGGAAGGAGAACTAATAAGATTTGCGGAGATCTTGGGATACAAGATCAGAAGCTGGCCTCTCAATTACTTAAGTCTACCCTTAGAAGGAAATCCCAGGTCAGTTGGGTTCTAGAAACCAGTTTTGGAAAGGTTTGATAGGAAGTTAGCCCTTTGGAAGAGGAATTATATTTCTTTGGGTGGAAGAATAACCTTGATTGGAGCCACTCTGGCAAACCTCCCCACCCATTCCTTTCAACCTTTAGAATCCCTTCTAGGGTAGCAAGGTGCATAGAGAAGTATATGACAGATCTCCTTAGAAGCCTAGGAGAGGAAAGGAAAGACCATTTGATTAAGTGGGAGCAGGTTAGCAAACCAAAGGAACAAAGGGGTTTAGGAATTAGGAACATCCTTTTAAGGAACACAGCTCTACTAGGTAAGTGGCTTTGGAGGTTTCCCTTTTGAGGGCGACAGACTATGGCACAAAATGATTGAGAGCATTCATGGAGTGGGACGGAAATGGCTGGGATGCAAAAGTTTCCCCTCACAATTCTTCAACTTCTCCTTGGAAAGCAATTCATGAAACCTACCCTACTTTCCTCAATTCCATCCGATTCAATGTGGGACATGGTAATAAAATTCTGTTTTGGAAAGATCTATGGGTAGAGGAAACCCCACTTAAAGACCAATTTCCTGATCTCTTTGCACTATCTAACCTCAAGGGGGAAGCTATCTCCATGTTGGGAACACCATGTCCAAATGGTGTGAACTGAAACTTGGGCTTTAGAAGGGGACTAAGGGAAAATGAGTGAGTCTTTAATCCTATTGCTGGACCTTCTAGGGCAAATCCACTTGGACCCTTTGCTGGAAGACTAGAATTTGGGTAGGCTCTCCAGATGGCCTCTTTTCTTGCTCCTCTTTCTTCAAAGTACTTGCTTCCCCCAACCTCCTAAGTGGGGATTTCCCTGTGAACGAAATTTGGTGCAAGCCTATTCCCCCGAAGATCTAAGCCTTCTACTAGGAAATATTCCTTGGTAAGGTAAACACTTACGGTATACTATAGAAAAGAAGGCCATACATTTGCCTCTCTCCTCATGTGTGCTCGTTGTGTAAGGAAAATGGTGAGACCCTTTCTCATTTAATGATATCATGTTCTTTTGTGACTCGAATTTGGGAATTCTTTTGTACTCTCTTTGGTTGTAGGTGGGTTCCCCCTCAAGATGTGGCAAGACTCTTCAACCATGAATTCTTGAGACAACGAAAGAAAAGAGGGATGGTAAAGTGAAAAGAACCAAAGGCAACAATTTGTTGGGTAATATGGAAAGAGAGGAACAACATAATTTTCTTGGAAAAAAGTAGAACGATAGAGGAAGTGATTGATAGTATCAAGGTGAAAGTAGCCCATTGGGTAACACCCTTGGATAGCTTTCAAGTCTTCTCAGTCACAAACATTCTAAGAACATGGTCCGAAGTAGCACACTCTTCGAGAGTAAGAGATAAAGGGTAGAGTGGAAACCACCAAAAGGCAATAAAGTAAAACTGAATTTTGACGGGAGCTCCTTTGGAAATCCGGGCATCTCAGGAGTAGGAGTACTAAGAAATTCTGAAAGGATGATATTGGGTATGTTGTCAGGACCGATTGGCATTGAAAACTCACTGAAAGCTGAACTATTGGCATTACTACAAGGGTTAAAGCAACCCAAACAGCTAGGATACAGACATGTTGAAGTGGAAGGGGATTCAAAAGTAGTAATTTCATGGGCAGCAAACAGAAGGCATACCCCATGGATGTTTAAACATGTGATTAGGGAAGTGGAGAAGATTGCAAAGGAGGTTGAGGCTGAATTTAAATGAGTCCAAAGAAGTGCAAATGGGCTAGTTGTTGGTTTAGCAAAACAGGGGGTATTGAGACAGCAATTGTTTTGGGCTGCACTATATTGAGGAATAGAATAGAGTGATAAAGGGGGATAAATAGTCCCATCACCAAGTTGTATAAACTGTTTACAATCTAAATTTTAATAAAATACATGTTTACTGATAAAAAACAAAAAAAAACAAAAAATCCCCTAACAAGGCAGTCTTTTCAACAAAGAAGGTTTGGTGCAACCCTGTAACCCCAAAGATGAGGGCCTTCTGTTGGGAGGTGGTGCTCCAGAAAATCAACCCCTTATAATATGGCTTCAAAGAAGGCCAAACTGTTGCCTTTCACCCCATGTATGTAGCCTTTGCTTGGCACGTGGTGAGACAATTGCACACTTACTAATATCTCGTCCTTTTGTTTCCTATGTTTGGAATTGGTTCTCTTCACTTTTTGGTTGTAGGTGGACCCCTCATTCGGATGTAGCAACACTCTTTGATCCATACTTCTTTAGACATCCAAAAAAGAAAGGAAAAGCAATGTGGGTTGTGACAAGAGCAGTTGTTTTGTGGTCAAATCGGGAAGAAAGAAACAATAGGATCTTTCAATGAACTGAAAGATCTAAGGAGCAAGTCATTGATTGCATAACTACCAAGATCTAAGGAACAATGGCTCCCTCCTGTACAACAATTGGTGAAGCTGAACTTTTATGGAAGCTCTTTAGGTAACCCAAGCCCCTCTAGAGTCGGAGGAGCTTTCAGAGATAGAAGGGCAGATTAATTGAACTTTATTCTGGTCCAATAGGTGTTGGAGACTCTTTGAGAGCAGAAATTTTGACCCTGCTCCAAGGCTTAAGGTTGGCTAACTAATGGGGACTACAACAGATTGAGGAAGAAGGGGACTATAAATTATTAACTGAGTGGATATAGTCACACAATTTGGGGGTCTGGGTACATCGTCAAATCATGAGGGAAGTAATGTGCTTAGCAATGGAGATTGGATTACAGTTCAGGTGGACAAGGAGGATCGCCAACTCATGAGGGAAGTAACTTGCTTAGCAATGGAGGTTGGGGTACAGTTCAGGTGGACAAGGAGGTTGGGGTACAGCAAGGAACTTTCAGGGAGAACTTGTTTTGGGCTGTTCTGTAATTTGAAAACATTCTTCTAAGGGTCAACACCCTTATCGTGGGTGGTAACAGTGTATTTTATTAAATATTGTCTAATGAAAGCTACCGATTCTGATCAAGAGAAAAGACGATCTAGCACCTATCTACATGTGGGTTTAGATGGATTCCTAGAGATATGAATACCACTGCAGACAAGATGATCAGATCTGGAGTTCAGAAAGGATATACAGTACATCGTTGCTTTAAATCTCACATATAGCAATATTTTTGTTCAGTGTATATTTTTTATTGACCTTGTTCCATGCTTTTTAAATCTCATGTATATCCTCCATAATTCTCATGTTAGTGACATTTCTTTGATGATTACTGAGTAGCAAAAATAATGGTCTGGCTTATCACAATGATCCTTATATGCATCAATTAGAAATCGGCAGGAGGATTCCAGTAGCGTGTTACTTGTTTTGGGGAGGTTTTCATGAATCCCACAGTGCTATACCTGTTTCTATGAAAGCAAAAGCCTTGCTACGGCATCCACTAAAGATAAAGCATCTCCAATCACTTGCCAAGTGAAGTAGATTGATTATATAACCAAGAGACTTGGTTGTCTCAAAAGTGAAGGCCTGTTTAGCAAGCTCTCCTTGAAATTGTGGTCCCCATTTTTCTTACGGAAGCAGGTGAGGGGAATACAATTATCATTGACCAGAACCAGCACATGCTAGAAAAAATACAAATAATCAAGACTGGCCCAAGAGAACTGGTCCCCCCCTCCTTGAGAACCTGTTAGCTATGGTACTTTGCTGATCTTGGAATCCACCAGAACAACCTGTTCAACCAGAATGGCAAAGATTTGGGTTCTCTAATGCCAAAAATTTAGCTACAATCCACATAGACACCACAAAAAGGAACTCTTTGAGATAAAGAGTTCAACTCCCCAAATAAAATAACCAAAAAAGATTCCTTATTTGCCTATGTTTAAAATACAAACAGTGTATAGAACATTGGAATAGCCCATGTAAAACAGATGATTCTAATCCATAATTGTAATGTAAATGTCATGGAATTTCAAATTAACAAACAAGATATAAATCCAACTACAACTTAAGAAATATATACAGGTGACTTCAGATGTCATTCATCATCTTCATCATTTAAGCCTAAATCCAACTACTTATATCTACATGGATTCTGTTCAAATCAAGATTCATAGATCTTGCAATGCCAACCTGAGCACCACCCCCTTCATCAGATGGGCATGTATCATAAACACATGATGAATAAGTAGGAAAACATCTAGTCATAATGATAAATTATAATCATAAATAAAAAGAAAGAACACCAGTATCTATTTTTTGTGTTTTTTTTCTGTTTTTGTTGTGTGGCTGTGTTCATTATAGATCAGGTTGTTTTAGAGCTGGTTTGATTTTGTTTCTTTACTCTTGTACTGTACTTAAAAGCAGTGGTTCTCCTTAATGAAATTTATCTGTTGCTTATCAAAAATAAATAAATAAATAAAAAGAAAGAGCTGCTTCAAATTTTCACTGGGACACAAAAATGCAGAACTTTCCTAATAGAAAGAGTTCCTCTCTAATGAAGTTTCTGATGTTTTTTTAAGCCACGAAGTTCCTGATGTTAAAAAAGAAAAAAGTACTTCTTTAACAATGAAATTAAAAGTTTTCCTTCACAAGACTTAGTGACCAATAGAAAATAAAGAAAAATCGGAAAATATATGCCAAAAGGAGATACAAACCACTAGATGAAGAACCAGAATCACTGCTGGAGCTACTAGAACTACTGCATTTACTGTTTCTGTGTGTTGTATCCTTTTCTATCTCGATTGAAGGGTAGCTCGAGACTGGTGGATCATTCCCACCAATATCTACATCCTCATCAGCAGGTTCATTGCCTGTGGATGTACAAAAATGAAGATGCAAAAACAAAATTATGGAATTTTTGTTTATCAAAACAAAGAAAAAATAGGGAGTTTTTTTATATTGATAAAGAGGGAGAGTTTCAGAATTCTTTCAAGTGAAAGGGAAAAAACCTTTGCAAGGCTGCATTGACGAATTGCTAAGTCCAGACTCATTCAAAATCTGTAACCAAAGAAACATAGATGATAAATAGTCCAACATATGAATATATGATAGTTTTTTTTTCCTTTTTTTTGGGGTGGGGGTAATTGCAATACCTCCATTTCACATGGTTCGACTTTTGCCTGGTTCATTTGTTTCTCCCGCAAGTGATCATCTAAAAGCTTTCGTAATGTGTACAATGTTTCATCACTCAGAGCATCAATATCAACCTCAATCTCATCCTCTCCCGTCTGAGATGAATTAAAACTATGTCCTCTCAGGAAATCAACAATATTTTCCGGAATATCTCCTAGCAAAGATTCCAATTCTTTGCTCAATTTATGCTTCTCTTCATCTGTCATGATCCACTTAACTGACTCTGGCTTAACCTTATGATTTGTTGAAAAGATTTTCCTTTTTTTAGATGGTGGCATTGGTTTACCATCATCTTCTCTAGGAATGCTCAATTTGGCAGGAATTGGCTGTGGATCATTTACCTGAAGTTTCTTCTCAATAGGTTTCCACCTCATTTCGAAGTATTTACTGAGAGCATCAGCCATAGCGTGAACATCATTCCCAGGGGGATTATAAGTCATCGCATTGGAAAAAGTAAGCCTCACATCAGCAGCGAAACCCATTGGACTTGAGTATGCACCAGAATGGAGCTTGCTCTTAATCGTGCCTAAATCCATCGGATGCTTGATGACAGTAAAGTAATCAGGAATGTTCAATTTAACTGCATCAACAGGAGTATTGAAGACCCATGCATAATTATGACTCATTAAACGTTTCAAAAGTGCCTCACACTGTTTCATTAACATTGCATCTGTTGTGCTTGATGGGGGTATCTGCTTCACAGATTCAAACCTTCCTGAAAGACCTCGCTTCAAGTTGGGCCCATTCCGACCAGGAGGAACCCGTTTCTTACCCTGCCCAGAAGATAATTCTAAAGACTTCCGTAAATTCTCGTGTGTAGGCCTCTTTTGCCCATTACTGCCACTGCGAATGTCACTGGTAGATGAGACAGCAACAACACCATTTGTGCACCGCACGGCAATCTTCTTTTGAAGAACCCTAACCTGTTCAAGCTCCGTCCTGAGTCTCAGTACCAATTCCTTCCTTTCTGAGCGTGACATCTTTGATACTGACAGGACCTGTATGGGGACGGCAAAACCATCACACCTATCAACATTCAGACTAATGCATTTTCTCTTGGGAGCACAAGAATCCTCTGAAGCTGTCATCTCCGTGTTCACCCGACCTGAACTACCAAGCCCTTCGGACTCACCGATTGTTTCAGCAGCATGACGATAATCCGGTACGAAACCAGAAGAGTATCCTTTTGAGGACCTCTGCGTCCTCCCCATCATTGCAACCGAAACTTTCCGTGAGTATTTCTTCGACTCTTTCTGCCCAGTGTACTCTACAAGAACTGTCGGTGCCATAAGACTAACCCCTTAAATCTGCACATGTCAACCGCGGGAGTAAGATTTATCCCCGCAGGCCCTAGAAAACCCAGGTTTGCGCTATTCCAGGATAAGACAATAAAAGCAGTGTACCCGGTCAAAATCTTGTATTGTTGATTGAGGATAAATATTAGTTCAATGTTTCCAGCGAACAGAATTTCTTAATTATTTTACTCTGTTCTTCCAATATGAGACCAACAAACAATATATTCAGCTTAAAAGTCGAGCTTTCGTTAAATAATTAGACGTTTACGCCAAATCTAGTTGTATTTCTCCTCCAATAAATCAAATTCGATTTACACATACATTTACAGAAAAGCACAGCACTCATAATAAAAACTCTAACCTCGACGCATTCACTGGATTCAAAACAGACACGGAAAACAAAGAAAAAAAAGGGAATTCGAGAAAAAAAGGACCCAAACCCTAGATTATAATTACCATCAAAACCCGCGATTCTTCTGTCTTCAACACACCGGAAACCCCTCCTCCTCGTCACAAATCACGAACTCTTTGCTAAGGCGAGTGTAAATAAGAAGATAATGAAAGACGCCACGAAATCTCGGAAACGAATACCGCAATCCCCCCAACCCTATCTCAAGCATAAACCCTAGATCAAAAGAGAGAGAATATATCGACGCTCGAGAGAAGCTGGAGAGGGGGAAATAATAGAAGAAACCCTAAGAATGCTTCATGAATCCAATACAGAACCTGGATCTTGAGTAAAGCCGCTCTATGCGAAAGAACAACCCTTCTTCGTATTCTTCTCCTGCCAGAGAGAAGTAGATACCCAATACACCTCGGATGGAAAACGAAAATCTGCGATCTCTCGCCTCGTTCGCTGCTCTACTTAAAGACCACTGACCCTCTTCCCACCGCTTCTCGGGAGATCTGGACCGTTCAATTAGCCAGCCTACTCAATCTGACGGATGTATGCTACTTTTATATTCATACCCTCGGATCTAGATCTAACGGTTAGGATTCTTGTCCATGACTATATGCATCTTATTTTAACAATTTTTATCTTGTTTTTAGATTATTTTTTTTACCTAAGGTTAATCTAATTCTGATGATATCGATCAGGGCTAATCGCTTGACGAGCTAATCAGTTTAACTAAATCACCTCGGATTTTCTAACCTCACGTGCACACTCTCTCACGCTAGCCGATAAACGTCCCTCCAGCACGGTAGAGCCCTGCGGAGTGCGGATAGCACAGGCTGTCGTTGATTGGATACACACGTGCTCAATAATAAGATTCTAGGGGGTGTTCCATATGGCTGTCAATGGTCGGGTCTACCCGATTGAACCGAATCTTCCAAACCGTATTTATCGGTTCTGGTTTTATTTTATGTCTTCTGATTAATATCGGTTCGGAACCGGTTTTGACTATCCGGAACCGATTGGATGTATATCTTTTAGAGTTATAGGTAATGCCTAAAATTGTAATTTTGCTTTTAACACCTAAAACCTTCAAGCTCAAACCCTTTGACCTTTACCCTTTTGTTTTTGCTTTTGCTGCTTGAGGCTTTAGCTTCTAAAGTTCCACTCGTCACTTTCTCTTTTCCAGGGAAAATTTCTCATCACTGTCTTTGTGTCTCACCGGTTCTCATGCTTCACCAATTTTCAGTCACTGTCTCCTTAGTTTAGTTTCTCAATCACCGCTGCTTTAGCTTTTAATCGGACTTCGACACTTTAGGCTGACACGACAACACTTGAAATTTACTTCAGACCTTTTGTAGAATATAGTTATGTTCTTCCTCAGCTCGTCACTTTTTTCTGTTCGGAAAAACCAAAAAAAAGGGAAAATTTTGTGAAGTTTTGGTCTTTGTCTTCTAATTTTTTGTTTCATTTTCTCTCATTATTTTTTATTTTTTGGTAAAGAAAAAATGGGTGTATTCCAATATTTGGAACTCAACATTTCGGTATTTGATAAAGAATAATTTATTTACATAATAAATATACAATTAGTGGTGGTAGGTGGTGGGATTGATGATGTTGTAGCCTATAAATGGGACAAGATAGTCTGGGGGGAGGAGACATTGTTATTGATGGGTTTTGTGATGCTACAGATTATATAGGTTGTTTACATGTTGATTCCTAGCAATATTACATAAGTAGAATGGTTTTTCTTTTTTTTGACAAATATCCTACTGATATTCTGATTTATTGAACCAACCGTTATTTTCTTATCAAACTAGCATCAAGTAAGTAATTCCTTGTTGTTGTATTCATATATTAATTAATTAATATGCATTTTTATTAATACAAAATATTGTACCAAAAACTGCAGGTCTTACCAACTTAAGTATGGGTTTTTATTTAATCGGGTCCAACCGAGTTAGACCCGATTGGGTCGCCGATTCAATAGCAGTTGTGAAATAATATAACTGATCGGGTCTGGTTCAGTTCCAGTACTGTCGGTTTTATCAATAGGTTCGAAGCAGTTCTACCCTACCCCGAACCAAACTCGAACCATTGACAGCCCTGGTGTGGCACAACATGATTGGTTTTGTTGTAAAAAATGGACAATTCTCGATTATTACCCTATATTTTTGGGCGTAGTGCCACATTGGTCATTAAATTTTAAAATACAATAATTCAGTACCCAAACTTTTAAAACATGCCAATCCAGTACTTGTCATTAACCAAACGTTGAATGGCATTTGAAAAGACACAATGCCCTTTTGAGTGTCATCTAATTCTCCTTGGAAGCATTGACAAAAAATGAATAATCACAAATCATTGCCTCTTCTACTCAATAAAGTTTGGAGACACGTCTAAGAGGACATTCTAATGACCCCAACTTTATTGAATAGAAGAGGCGAGGATTTGGGACTGTTCATTTTTTTTATCAACATTTGGATGGTTGATAAAAGAAAATTAGATGACATTTAAAGGGTATTTGTATCTTTTTAAATGCCTCTTAAATGATGGTTAACAGTAGATACTAAATCGACACGTTTTTTAATGTTTGGGTACTAATTTGTCATGTTTTAAAGCTCATGGACCAAAGTGTCATTAGGCCCAAAGTATATGGTACTGATTGGGAAATTTTCCCTTTTAGAAACAAAAACAATGACATATCAGCAAAAATAATACAATTTTGTTGATGTAGAATTTGTTTGTGTTTTAAAATATAAAATCAACCATGTTGTTGAATACCCCCATATTTTATTTTATTTTTTTGTCTGGATTTTTCGGACTGTGAAAATAATGAATTTTGACATAAATGAGCCTCGTCGTTGAACAAACAACAAGAAAATCATTAGAGAATCACATAATATAGATTATTACGATCACATTCATCTGGAGGGTAATCAAGTTGCGGATTGACTAGTAAATGAAGGTCAACTCAGAGAGTTTGTTGCATGTAAGGTATTTTTTTTCCACAGGGCTACACGATAGGGGTAGCCCACCCTCAACCCTAGTGGTAGTGGGATTTGATACCAAGTCTCTACTCCATGAGTGCATCCTTATCATAGATGCCATAGATTGTTCCTTCAGAAAGAAAAAAAAAAAAAAAGTTAGATTAGCCTCACACCAAGCCAAAATGGTGATATTTCTTCTCAAACCATTTCCATATGTGTTGCTTCCACAAACCCCCTATATCCCCAATCATACACTTGAAGTACTTTTTTATAAACTACATTTGAAGTACTTGATCCCAGTTATCTACTATTCTACTACACCAAGCTAAAAACTATACTAGCAAATTAGTTGGTACCTTTAGCTCACTTAGAGATATCAATGGGTCAGGTCTATTTGACAAAACTGAACTAATCAACCAATTGTGTTAGTTTTAATTGCATGGTTTGTGTCTAAATTTAATTGGATTGGGTTTCGTTCTTGCAATTCCGAATTAATTAAGGCCTAAAATATAGACGTGTGATGACTTTTTAGAAATTTTTGTTACATTTTTATTTATAAGAAGGATAAATCTTGTAGAAAAAATGTATAAAGAAAATTTTGGTTAAAACACATGTTTTTATCAACATATAAAAAGTATAATATTTTACTGCCATTTTTATTAAGATTATCTATACTATTATATGGGTTTGGTGCAAGTCATGAAAGTGATAATTTATATCTTCACCTTTACCTACATACACGCATAACATACATCCTCACATTAATATTGTTAACTATGAAATTCTAAGTTATTATTATCATCGTTAATTATCAATATAAAGTATAATAGGGTTAAACCTAAATATCCCAATTGATAATTGGTTTGGCTTTCGGTCTATCATATAAATCCGATTAATAATTGGACCAAGATTGAATCACATTGTCCCAGACCAGGCCTGACCCGTTGACAACTATAGACCCGATACTTACTAAATTGAATGTGTTAGAATTGTTGGTGTATCGTTCACCCAAGATCAATCCCCTTTTTTGACAATGATATGTCCTTCCAACCAGGGTGGTTTTGTGATGATCAGAAAGTTCCTATAAATCTAGTTAAATTTGTTGAGTACGAAGAAGCTCCATCGATGCTCAATAGTTTGAATTCATTTTTTAAACAAATGTTCCTTTTAAATGGGTTATTCTTCGTACACACATAACAACAAAAAAAAAATCATATTAACTAAGAAAAAAAATACAGTAAGTTTTAATTGCACATTAAAATTTCGAGAAAGGGCTAAGGATCATCAGGGACAAGGTTGGGGGTTTAGGCCTAAATATAAGTTGTAATTTATATATATATATATATATATATATCTCATTGCTTCAAACCCCTCTTCCTAATTTTCTGTTTTTTTTGAAATTTTTATTTATTTTTTAATTCTACACAACTACCCATTAAACCAATCAAGAAATCACATATGTTTAGCTATTTCTAATAATCATAAAGAAAGAGGGATTTGCTTTTCTAATGTTTAGTCAAGTGGCACCACTTTCCTCCACTTCCTCCTAAATTGTCTCTAATTCCTATTTATCTCCTAAATTATCTCTAATTCCTATCCTCTCCCCCACTTTTTATCTATATCTATTTAAAGAAAGTTTGAATTAAAAAAAATTTAGAACTATTTAAATGCTATATACTAAATTTAAAATATTTATTCAAAACACAAAAAATTAATATATTTAATAATATTCATATTATTAATAAATCAATATTTTTACAAAATTCAGCATGATATTATGTAGTAACAATATAAATTATAACTTTATGAATTATTCAAATTAAATGTTATAGCTAAATAATATAACAAAATATTTAATGTTACATAATAACATTAAAATAAGTAAAATTCAAATAATTAGATTTTTTAAATATTTTACATGACAAAATTTTAAATAATCAAAATAACGAAATTATGTAATAAATAAAAAAAATCTTAAAAGTAGAAAATAATTATAATAGAACTCATAATATTCATATTAGTAATAATTTAATATTTTACAAGATTAATAACGAATTATGTAATAATAGTACAATTATTATTTTATGGATTATTAAATTCAATAAATAATTAATATTTTAATAATTCAAATAACAATATTATTTCAATAACTAAATAATATTGTAAATAACTAATTTCACTTATATCAATTAATAATTATAGAAAATAACTATCAACAAAATTGTATTTATTCATAATAATTTTACCATAATAGTCTATATTCATTATATATTTATATATACTATAATTAATATTTATTTTATTTTTAGTATTTATTTATTTATTTTTATAAATATGATTTCAATAATTATTTATAAATGTATTCTGATTTTTGTTATTTAATAGAAATTTATTGGAGATTAAACAACTATTATTTAACTTTTGAAATTTAATTTATCGTATTTATTG